GATTATCTTTTATGAAAAATTTATTTTTTCCTATTATAAATATACTACAGTTTTAGTATGTGACCTGAGGAATATAATTATAATTGAATAACATGTTCTAATATAAAATTGGCGATTTTATGCATCTCTTTTGGTAATCTAAAATTTTAAATTAGCTCCAACACTACATGTTATTTCTGAGATGCTTGTGGGAGGGTACTGAAAGGTTGAGAAACATATTGATTGTGCCTTCCTTCCAAAAAACTTGACTTCAAGAAGAAAACAAATGGAAAAGGGAATTGGAGAATCATCAGATGGCAGCAGTATATTGTAATAATTTTCAATATTTGATTAACAGAAGGAGAAAAGGTTTAATATCCATGATATTGTACCTTGACCTTCAACTTAAATAAATTTCTGGTTCTGAAACATTTTTTTTTTTTTTTTGGAAAACTCAAATGTTCCCCACTTTTGTTGAAGCAAAAACAATCGGCTTTTCTCCAAAAGGATCTTCTCCTTTCTCATTTCAAAGAGGTGGTTAACTCAGAAATGAATCCGGGAGGATATCTATAGCATGGATCGTTTGGAAGCATGGGCATTGTGGTACAAGTGATTTGCACCACCCACTGGCAAATAGTGGCCAAGAGGGAAAGAATGGAGGGAATCATTGTGTATCAATAATGGCCTCTACACTGTATCTCACCATCTGGGCCTTACACCAATATTCTGGAATATCTAATACTCTATTTGGGCTGTCTTCACTCTGATTTCTCCCTTGTTCTTTCTCTTAACCATACTTGTGACTTATCAAAAGGCGAAAAATTCCTGTTTCCCTCTCCCCTTAAAAGATCATGAATTTTAATGTGAGTCTATTCTCCTGACTTCTTCATGGCAGGTAAGACTCAGGGGTAACATTTCTCCTTGTTGGGGACCCAACAATAAAAATATTAGGCCTGATGTCCTGTCACTTAAATAACAAGAAATTCATGATTCATTACTTATAAATACAGGAGAGTGGTTACAGCAGGAAAGCTGTGTATATTAGGTGAGGGTAAATAGTATCTATAGGTCAGTGAATAATTAGGGTCTCCCTGAGGTCCCTGCTCCTTGTCACTTCAGTGCAGCCAGGGAAATGTTCACATTCAGCTGCAACCCTGAGTGAGTTTAAGGAAAATCAGACATAGCCACAGACCTTCCATTTTCTCTATGTGTGTCAGATTTATAGTTTTCTGTTCTTGGATGCTTCCCTCTCAACTAGGTCTAGACATGTGCTAAATTACTTCTCTGTTATTAAGCAAAGATTTTTATACTTTCCTTAACAAAAGAAGTTAAGGGCTATATCTAAAGCTAATGTTCTGTTTGGGAAAATGGAGAACTAAGGACAGAAAGGTCTGTATTTTTAGTTTTTAAACTTTAGTGTGTGAAAGAATCATCCTGAGAGTGAGATTAATCAGCAAATTCATGGATACCAGATTCTTCTAGCACAGTGAGTCTGCCTGGGGTTTGAAAAGTGAGCGTGAAATGATGATAATGCAGGTTGTCTACAGTCTAACTTCGGAACATATCAGAGTATTAAACCTTCTTCATTTGCTAAAATGTTTCTTTACCTCTTTGGAATGAAGAGCATAGTATTCTTCTAATTGCATAGAATAGATAACTTGATAAAGCTGAGGATGAGCTTTGACTACTGGTCTTTGACGATGGCAAATATGCAGGTTTGGGGGTGAGTCTTCAACACACATGAAAATCAACTTCACAGCTTGAATACCTAGAGCAAACTTAAAAACTATGCCTTCTAGGACCAACTTTATTACATTTCTGAGGCAGCAATATCATTGTTTTGGTGAAGGGTAACAACATTTTTTTTTAATTTTGTTAAAAATATTACTAAGCCTAATTTAAATATTTAAAAGCTAGTATAACCTGTTTTCTACACCTGAATAGGTAAATTTTCCAAAATCTCCCTCTCCATCTCTGTCAAATCAAATAGGTCATTCATGAAAGACTGTGGATTTTCTTAGATGAGAACCGAAGTATCATTCCCTGTATAATGATAATTTCCAGGCACTAAGCTTGGTTAACCAAGAAAAAAATTAGATGGAATGTGCTATTTATAGTAAATGCAAAGCATCATTATTATCAATTCTTGTTATAAAATACACAGGAAAAAATATCCTTTTTGTTATTTAAATATGGCATGGCTACTCTGAGAAATAGTACAGATGCTAATTCACAGCGCCTCAGCTGTATCCTGGGCAATCATTATTATGTTTTATTCTTAGTTGGAATTACTAGTAATAGACTATATTTCTGTATGAAATTCAAATCAAGGCACATCAATGAATTGAGATGATTGATATTACACACACACACATACATAATTCTGGAATTGGGAACAACAATAGAAATACCATAATTTTTTGTTAGAGAAAAATCCACTGAACTTGCTGTTATATTAGAGATCTTTTTGTTTTGTTTTGTTTGATTTTTTATTTATTTATGTATTTATTTATTTATTTGTTGGTATTTGCAGTCAAACTCAGGACTTTGCACTTGCCAGGCAGGCCCTCGTGCTGCTGAGCTATATCCTGGCCTACATTAGAGATTATGATGAAGGACATTTTTCATTTAACTAGAGGTGCCAAAACTTACTTAATACTTGACAGGTGGAATGAACTAACCCTTGATCAGTAATCTAAATTTGTTTTGAAAATACATGTGTAATCATTGAGAACATGAAATATAAATATCTGAATTCTTAAATATCTGGTTTTAAACCACAAACACTTAAAAAATGTATGCTCATATTTTTTTTCCTGTCCTCTTATTTTAGCTTCTTAGATAAATACTATTTTTTTGTTGAAGTCTCTTATTGACTTGCAATTTTCACACAAGGACTCAGAAGAGAGGGTAGTGGTGTTGTAACTCATGACATTATTGAATGTACATTTCATGTCCATGTACATGTGTATTGTAGGAGAGTTCTCACACAGATTTCACACTTTTAACCAATGTAGATTGGCTAACCTAGTCAAGTCCTGTTATTTTATTGATGGGAAAACTGAGAACTAGTGACATTAAGTTGTTTTCCAGAGGTCCTGACGTTAGTAGTTGACCTAAGGCATTAAATTGCAGTTCATGGTATTTATGAATCTGCTTGTTTTCAAACCAAAATCATGGGCTGTCCCTTCTTCTCTACAAAAATACTCATACTAGTCATCTTGTCTCTTTAATTTTTCTTTTATCAAACCTTAAAATGAAGTTTGTTTCTGCTTCTTACAGTCTGAGTTAAAGTCGCCAAAGAAATGCCAGACTTTACCTAGGTCCAAAACAACATTATTTTCCTCTGTCCTTATCCAGCTAAATGGTTTCATTCTGACCTTTTCACCTATCAAGAAAAGGTTGATTATAAAGGTTTTCCAGGATTGTAGTTGAAATTCATACCTTTCAAAGTACTCATGTCTAGGAGATGGTGCAGGGTGATAACCCTTAACACTTCACATTTTAGCCACTGGTACTTCTGTCTCTAACTTATAAGACAATGCCATATAAACTAATTGAATACAATTAAATGTGGGAAAAATGCTTTGAATAGAAAAAAATATTTATGAACCTGTATAGCGATATCTCTGTACTTGACATCATGGGGGATATAAATGTGGGTATGATTACTATAATGCTTTCAAGGAGCTTATAATCCAAAGAAGGGAAAACAAAGACTCAAACACACTTGGTGGAAAAAGACAAGTGTCTGTGAGGAGATAGCATTTAAAAACTACATGACTAATGGAAAAGGTAAAGACCTGAAAAAAATTCTAGGGAAAAAAACTTGAAGAACAAAAATCACTTGCAAGTATAGCAAGATCCATTTTTGAATATGTATGTGTATATTCTAGAAGCATATTGACTCTGTAGTGGTACTCGTGTACAGCTTGCAGATTACTGCAGTCTTTAAACTTTGTGACGATTCAAGGACAAAATAAGTTTCATGCATCTGGTTTCTCTTATTGAGAGAAAGAATTTAGAAATGCACAGATATCTGCCTTTGCTGCATCCTCCAAGCACATCATCTGTGAAGTCAAATCATCAAAGCTGATAATTTGAACATCAGATTGTAGGTTGTATTTCATTTCCTACATAGATATTTTAAGGAAGCCTTATATAAGTGTTTGTGGTGGGGGAGATTTTTTATGGGACAAAATACCCAACGCCCACAGCTCAAAGGAGGAGGGTTTTAGTTTGGTTACAGCCCATGTTTGGCTTGTCTGAGGCAGAAACAACATGGTAAAAGGGCCAGGTGAAGGAAAGCTGCTCATCCCAAGGTCACCAGGAAGCAGAGGGCAAAAGGAGGAACTAGGGAGAGAGAAACGTACCCTTCTATGTCACACCACCAGAGCCTGCCTCCTCTCACCATGTCAACCTCCTAATGACACAGTTTACTATTACTCATCAGTAGATCAGTCCTCTGATAAGAACTGCATCCCACCTTCTGAAAGCCACACCTCTGAACATATGAGTCTTTTGGGGGACATTCAAGATTCAAACAAAGCATATATAAACAATGTAGAGCTATTTTTCATTACTTTTTTTTTAAATCATCGTTGCTTGTTTCCAACTATAGTCTTTCATTATAAAGTACAAAAACGTTAACTTTATGACATTGCACAGTCTTTCAAAATGACAGCAGCACAAAAGGGTGTAGGAGGCACACAATATGAATAAAGCAAAGGGTGTGTCCAAGGCAGCTAGAACAACAAGAGGTAGAGGAAAGAGGGGAGACGCCAGACAGTCTGCTTTGGAAGTTATGAGAACATAAGTGATTAGTATGACATAGGGAAAGCCTTTCTCTTCACTTTTTAATAGACCACATGAAATTACTCTTCGGTGGGAGATTTCTTCCCGTAGTTGAAGCTGACTCTTTTGCACATCACTATTATTTTTTATTTTCATGATTGTATTTTGCTTACGGATCCTATTTGGAATACGTTCTTCATTCTGGACGTTTTCTCTTTTTGTTTCAGATGACTACACACTGCATGGCCCAATTTTTATTCAAGAACCAAATCATGTAATGTTCCCTTTGGATTCTGAGGATAAAAAAGTGAAGCTTAATTGTGAAGTCAAAGGAAACCCAAAACCTCACATCAGGTTTGTTGATTTAAAAGTATGTGATTCCATGAATATAGTTTGTATTATTAAAATCAGAAAGTGTTACAAGGTACTGATTACATAAAGAATTTCTTAAAAGGCATTTTAGGATATCCTGAGACTCCTGAGAAGATGCTGATTTTATGAAAAGGTAAGAATCTCACTTCTGTCTCTGGTAGTACTAGGAATTAAGCATTCTGACTGACCCTCTTTTTGACCACCTTAACAATCTTTCATACTATATTTTTAGTTAAAAGTGCCATTTTAAAGTGAATCAGTAAAATGTTAAGAAAGTAAGTAATACTTAGAAATCCTAAGAGTAAATAGGTTTGGAACCTAGTGAATTAAACTGTACATGAAAGGCAGTTTTGAACTTAATGAAGTAAATGACTTCATGAGTACCACAGTCATAAGACAGAGCCTGGACTCAACTAATGGGAGGCTCTAACCTGAAGAGACTCCCCAGAACAATAAACATGGACAAGAAATAAGTTTGCTTTCCAAAAGTACTGTCAAGCACCAGAAATTACTCATTTCAAACCTTGAGTATGAGTGTTTTTCATAGAAAATGAGATATAAGAACTGGGGATGTAGCTCAGTGACACAGCACCTGCCTGGAAAGTGCAAAGTCCTGAGTTTGAGTCCTGATACAAGAGAGAGAGAGAAAGAGGGAGAGAGAAAAAAAGGCGGGGGGGGGGAGAGAGAGAGAATTAATAAACTTTAAGACAAGCCTAAGAAAATCATCCAAGCAGAAAAGATAAGAGAAACAGAACAGTAGACAAAGAGCCTTGAAACAGATGAAGCCAGAGACAGAAACTGATATCATCTGTTCCGGAGGAAAAGGTAAGGGAGGAAAAGCAAGAACAATACACAAAAGAAGACTCAGAATGTTTCCACACTGACAGAACCTTGAGGCCCACCGATTTACAAAGTGTGATAGACACCAAGCAGTACAAATGAAAATGAAGGCTTATCTAGAAGAGCAAAGCAGCAGGACTCTGACTCAAAAAATGATCATAGAAGTAGCCAGAGTTTTATTACCGGTATTCTGCAAAGAGACGACAATTAAACTGTCAGTGGCTTTCTCAATAGCAACAACAACAACAACAAAAAGAGGCAGAATATAGATTCTTCAATATACCAAGACAATTTAACTGTCAAATTTATAGATGACAGAAAAAGAGAACAAAGAATGACTGTTATTCAAAAGAGAAAAAAAAAATTATGAAGGCTTGTGAGGATGAAAAGGAAAGGGAACACTTCATGCTTTTTTTTTTTAATGGTACCAGGGATCAAACTCAACACTTACATGCTGTTGGTAGGAATTTGAATTAGTATAGCCATTATGAATAATTGTATGTAGTATCCTCAAAAAACTAAAAATAGATCTTCATATGATATAGCTACTCCACTGCTGAAGATAGCTCCCAAAGAAAATCAGTGCATTAAAAAGGTACTTGTTTGCTTTAGTATCACTCACAGTAGCCAAGATATGGAATCAGTGGACGTGTCCACCAACAAATGAAAGAATAAAGACAAATGTGGTCAACATACAGTGAAACATTAGATACCTGTGAAAAAGAATGAAATCCTGTCATTTTTGCAATGTTGGTAGAAATGGGAGACATAATGTTAGGTGAAAGTCAAGCAGTGAAAGACAAGTGCTGCATGTTTTTACTTGTATGTGGAAACTGAAAGGTTGCTCTCAGAGAGGTAGAGAGTAATGTAGTAGTTAATGTAGATTATATATAGAGAAGAGGGAAGAGGAGATAATGAGGGCTTGGATAACAAGTCCCAAAATGCATGGGCTAGGGGGAGTAAGTTTTAGTATTCTATCGAACACTAGGAAGACTGCAATTGAAAATGACTTGTCATATGTTTTAAAACAACTGGAAAAGAGTTTAACTGTTCCCAACACAAAGAAATGTTAATTGCCTTTAGTGTGCTATATGCATGTGACAACTGTGTGTCATATGCTTGTATCAAGCTGTCACACTGCACTCCTAAATATGTACAGATTTTATGTCAGAAATTAAAGAAAGGAGAACAAATAAGGATGTCTTCAGGCAGATAAACTTAATAAATTTAATTCCTGCACTTTGCTAAATGAAATCTTAAAAGACACACCCTGAGGCAGCATAAAAATGCTCCTAGAGAGAAGATTCAAGTTATAAGAACAAATTCTAAGTAACTAAAGTGCTAATATCAGTAATTCCTCAAAAAGATTGATTGTACTAAACAGTACCATCCTGTAAAAATAAAAGGTAGAGATGTTAAAATTGATGGCAATTTTAGAAATACATTGAAAAGAGATATCCTAGACAAGGGATTATCCATATAGTTAAGAAGATTACATATACACAAAAACTAGTTTTGAGGGAATATAAGATCTAAATAGGTCACTTAAAATACTTTTAAAATAAAATGGGCATACAAATTATGACTTTGAATGTGGAAAAGATTTCTAAGATTAAAGAAAATAAGGCTCATAATAGAAAATATTTCGCTTCATTAATATTGAGAATTTCTTTTCAGCAGAATATCCCAAAATAAGCAAAATGACCAACTTCAGATTGGGGAAGATACTCTAATGAATTTGTCATTAATAGATAGAATTTTTAAAGAATTCCAACAAATTAAAACATAGAAAATAAGTACTGGAAATATTAGCAAAATACTTGAGCAGGCCTATAAAAATGAAGTCCAAGTAAGCAGTAAACATATAAAAAATTTGTCAATCTCATTAGTGAATAGAAATATGCAACTAATTACAAAAGGACACACTGTTTCATACTTAGTGGACTGATAAAAAGTTGTAGGGCTGACATGTTGGTGACAGACTCCTTGAACATTGCTGATAAAAATGTAAACTGGTAAAAGTTCCTGAAATAGTAGAAACATTCTCTAGAAAAGTTAAAGGTACACATATCCTATGGTCCAGTGAGTATAGTCTCATAATATATTTGGGAATAAACATAACCTGTTGCATTCATGCAAAGTATACCCACGTGCAGTAGTGAAAATGAGAGAATTATAGCTGCATGTAAAACAATTTTAAAGAAACAGGGCATGTCACATCTGAAAGCGTGGCATATCGTTCCATGTTTATAAGGTTCAATAGCCATTCAGATGGAATGGTTGCTTAAGGTATAGAGAACTTCACCTCTGCATTCCTGATGTTTTCAGCAGGTCCTGAAAATTAAACTAACATAAAACAGGTCAACAGGAAAAATAAGCACACAAATTTATTTAATACCAGTTTTATGTGACATGGTAATCTTCACTGGCAAAAGAAGACCAAAAGATATAATTACTGAATACATGTAATGAATTGTGAGAAGATAACTGAATTATGTAGGAGACCAAAAGAAAATATTTAACAACGCCTGCACAGAATATTTCTGTTTAAGTTTCTTGTTCATGATAAAAAGTATGGTAGTTTCCTTCTACTATAGGGAGGACATCTTTCACGTGCAAATTTATCTTCTAATTATTTGGAACTTAATGAAGAATAGGGTGATTTTCTTGGGCCTGCTGTTTTCCAACTACCCTTAACCCAATTATTCAACAACAATATGTTTTGTACCATCATGTTCTGAGATCTTTCATGGGATGTTTACATTTGTGATCAAATCATTTTAAAATATGGAAATTATATTAGTCATCTTTCCTGTCACTGAGATAGTACACATAACCCAATGGTGAGGTTTAATTTGACTCATGGCTTTATTGAGTTCAGTCCATGGTTGGCTGGTCCAAGTGAGAAGCATTGTGTAGAAAGGTATGGTAGAGCAAAGATGTTCATTTCATGATATCCAGGAAGCAAAGCAAGGGGACTGTGCCAGAGAGGAATGAACAAGAGACGAGTCACATACCGTGCCAACATGATGTACCCAGACACACGCAGAAATGTGCTTTACTAAACCCCTGGATGGCAATCATATTGACAGCCACCTTAACTGTAACACAAGTGAACAAACCAAAACTGAAGATTATAACTAACTGTCTTGGTTACTTTTCTCTCATTGAGACAAAATGCCTGACATCAAAAGTTAAAGGAGGAAAGTTTTATTTAGCTTACAGTTTGTGAAAGTTTCAGTGCATACTCAGCTGGCTCCAAGGCAGAGTGGCACATGTCAGAGGGCAACAGTTCAGGGCTGTGGAAAACAGTAAAAGCACAAGAGCAAAAGAGAGGGGCATGAGAAAAGACTCTTTCTGTCCCTCATATTGTGTGCAGTCTCTCCACCCGAGGATGGGTGTAGCAGTCACACTCACAATGCCAGCATTGATCACAGACTCTAGAAACCTGCCACCATGACTGCATGAGGTTTTGAGGGTGAATCCAGACATAAAGCAAATCCAGACACTAACCATTGAGAAAGTTAATTGATGTAGGGAACTTCAACCATAAAATATTGGTATTATTTCTTTTCTCAAGCACAAATCATCATTTTCTCATAATTCTTTATAACTTACAATGTTTGTAAGTATTCTTTAGCATCTATTCAAATTTAATGATAAAGAAATATATATATATATATATATATATATATATATATATATATATATAGTATGGAAGAAATTGGAGTCATCAGAAAGAATCCACAGGAGAAATGTGATTTAAGCCAACACAATTAATTTTCAAGTAGACAGAAAGGAAAAATATTCCCTAAAGGTCAAGGAGAGTAATATCACCATAATGGATATCCCTTTAGTATTTAATTTATATATTCCTTCCTTCATATATTTACTTTATGAAACACTGTACCATTCATCAACAAATCAAACTACTATTTTTCAAACTGTAAATCCCTGGAGTTGGCTCAAGGATTCCCTGGGGTGAAAAATAGCAGTCTAGGGGCTGGGAATTTAGCTCAGCGGCATAAGCACCTGCTTTGCAAGCAGGCAGTCGTGAGCTCGATCCCTGGTACCGATAAAAACGAAAAAGACAAAAAAAAAAAAAATAGCAGTCTGCACCCAAGATTTTATCTTAGCAGCTCTGCCTTGGACTCTGAAAAATATATCAATTAGGAAATATACCTAACCACTATTTTGAACAGCTACAGTGTACTGGGTAGCCCACAAAGCTTGAAGTATTCAAAGATTTGTATATTGTAACACATTCTATTTGTATGATTGCTAAGCAGTTGCCTAGATGCAATACTGTGATACAAATGTGGAAGAGTATGTCTTAAGTTCTAGAGTAACCTACAGAAGAGTCTAATTTAGGAAAAGGAAATCAGGTACCACTGAAGATTTCAAAGCAAAGGTGATTCTGTAGTGCCAAATACAACTGATCTTTTACCATATGGATAGTGAAAAGAAGTGCATTCCAGAAATTATAAAGCAACTCTTCAGTTAAAGTGGGTCCTAGAATTAGAGTAAATACACGATTTATTATCCAAAATAGGAAACTCTTGAAAGTGAAAAAAACCTATTTATAATTCTAAGACAGCAGTTGTAAATTTAGTACTGTCCTAACAAACCAGAATAATTTTTATAGTACAGTAAATTTGAGACTTAAGCAAGTAATTTAAATTGTATTGTTCAGTAAAAATAAGTGAAAGACAAAAAGGCTTCTAGGTATAAAAGTGAGTTAACTGATCCCAATTTCAGTACAAAGCCAAAAGTCAGTTCAGATGTTAACTATAAATAAAACCAAAATTTGAAGAAGAATTTGACAAGTTGCTGCTTTATTTTTCCTCAAACTGTGACCTTTAACATTGTTTTTGTAACATGGTATATATATATATATATATATATATATATATATATATATAGTCTTTATTTGTTATTTAAAACAAATCCCGGAACAGAAACCTATTATGGTTTTAAAGATTGCCAGGAAAGGCTTAGAAGAAAACTTCAGATCAAATGTACCAACAATTCCCTACACTGGTAAAAAGCAGAAGAAATTCCAAAGTAAGCTCTCCATAGGGATCTACAGCATCAGACCTTTCTCTTAGACACCCCATTGACCCCTTTTCTTTGTGTTTATTTCTTCAACTGAGTCTTTTTTTTCCCATTGTATCCTGCCCCTCAATTTTGAAAGGATTGACCCAGATGCAGAAAAATTTAAGAAGTTTTCACTTGTGCCAACTTCACTTGTATTAAAGTTCCCTAAGGAAAGATGACATTACTTATTTTACTCAGCATCCTTTTCAGACTGAAGAAACATTGAAGTACTTGGTTGGAGTAGTTTTGCTGTGAGGTTTGTATTCAACTGAGTTGGCAGAGAACACATTCTAAATCAGAAAGGCCTTGTCCTTCCCTTAGTGCCAAATTCAAACAGTTAACAGAAAAGAGGGCTTTGCTACAGCAAACCCCAAGGATAGCTTTAAAGTCTGCAAAATCATTCCTTGCATAGCTTCAAAGTATCAGTGCATGGTTGTACACAACCATGCTCTCTGGAGAGAATCTAATCGTGATAGACCCCCAAAATTCAGAAATAAGCTTATAAGAAAACAATCTGCCTTTCCCCTTGGGGAAAATCTCTAGTTTGCTCCAAATGAGCATTGCCTCTATATTACCAGTGCTTAAAAGATTGCTCAAACATTGAAAGTGTGTGATTTTTTCAAGAGTGTTTCAGTATGCAATGAGATAAACAATTCAGGGCAATCCACATTCAATTGGAATGAACACTGACTGCACTGCAATAAAATTTCCTATCATGCTTTGTAATGTAGACCCAACTGCATTTCTCAGAAATCACTTTATTTTCTAAGCAATCCCATTTTCTTTGCTGTTCGTATGTAAAAGCAAGCAATAAAGTAAATTAACGGACTTCCTGCACAGCACTGTGGTTGAGATGAGTAGTATAGGCAAACCTACGGAAATTATTTCCACAACCACTCTTCTACAAAAGACTCACACGGTCCCATTCCCAAATTCCATGCTCTGCTTTCAGCTCACATTACCTTGCAATTTCCTCTTTGAGGTCTTAGATTTGTCATATTAAATTGTTCAACTATCATTTGAGCTGAGAGTTATGGCCAAGACGTGATCAGCTGACTAGAAACAAATGTCTGAAGCAGGCAGGTCAGTTCTAGAGATTCGTGTGCAGGCAGCACTGCTGAAATATAACTCTAGCTCTTCTGTTTATCGCTTATTACTTTTTTGTCTGTGTCAGAGCACAGACTGTTGTACCTAAAAACATTGTCAGTTTCTAATATTCACCTTCTTATAAGCAAACACATAAAGAACTGTGTCCTGTTTTGTGCTTCTTGGTTGCTTTCCCTAACCCACCTCTCCTGCTTCTGTGGTTTTATATTTCAAAAACACAGATGCAAATAAACATATAGTGCTCTGCTATGGTATGTTGAGTTCATGAGCTGTGCATACTCAAAGCTCAAATATCTAGGAAAGAAGTAAAGTATTTAATTAAATTCATCAATGTTTATTGAGCACATTGAGAGAGTCTACTTCTGGACGACCAAAATGAGAATGCAGAAGTGCTTAGGCAAACTTTTTACAGTGGAAGCAAAATTCTTAAAGGAGCAGAGAGACTTCTTTAGAAATGTGGACAGCTCTGATTACTTTCCACTAGGCACATGGAAGAAGACTTCATTGTAAACTGTGTCTTTTAAGACTGAGTTTGAAGTATGAGAAAAATCTTGGCAGAAAGAAAAGACTACTTCTGTGTACTTTTGTTTTCACTGACTGGTATCAATTATCCAATATCTTCAAAATAAGTGTCCTGCATTTTTTTTTCATTTAAATCCTTTTGCAATTATGAACATACAACCAGATCACCCTTCTAAAGGATGTACAACAAAAGTGCCTATGCATTGGTTTGAATCAGTTTCCTTTGTGCTTCATTGCTTTATTTTTGATCTCCCAATGTGATTACTATTGCTACCAATTATGCTGTTTTCATTAACTACAGTGTGAGTACTACGTGGAATTGTGCATAAAGAAAGAAGATACTCATTGAATTCTGTTAATGCAAAAGTTTATAAGTATTCAAATGACTTCCTGGAAGGTGATTTGGTTAAGATAAGCTCTTTGAATGGCGAGGATATAGAAATAAAATTGAGGATCTTTTAACTAAAGTTTCACGATTGAAATATGTGAGTCCCACTAAAACTAGTTTATTGGGTTACCTACTATGGCAGTATTCACAGGTGATCCCAACAAATACACAGAAGGACAACAAAACAGTCTTTGCTTCAGTCACCTCATAACCTGACTTTCAGTTTACTGGGATGCTCTGAGTGAGAGTGGCTAAGGAGATCTTCAGAGTGATCCCCAAACTAGCTCTAGATCATTAGATTTCTCCTTCTTGGCAATCAGTCACTTCACTCACGTTAAAGATAGTATCAGAACAACTGTGCTGCAGTTTCATCAAATACTCAGCAATCTACCTGCAACTAGTGAATCATGTCACCCATATAGCCCCATTTAAAGAATAACTGCAACCTAGATAAAATAGCTTTAGTGAGCCGCTCTGTTTGAAGAAAGTTGCACCAGGTGCTATGGGAAATCCACTCTGTGCAAAGAGGGTTTTAAGGAGCAAAGTAGTCACAGAAACAGGTGTTAAAAATGTATTATTGTTACTTACTTTAAAGGACGTGCTCTTTCTATAAGCACTTACAATGTCACCATTGCTGGGTGGAGCATTCTCTGTTTTTAGCCACGCTGTAGGAACTTTACAAAGGATATTTCATGTGATTTATGTTTTTTCATATATTTTAAACAATTCAAACATGGATTAATATTACAAAGCTTTATCTACTGGCATTTTTATACTATAGGTGGAAGTTAAATGGAACAGATGTTGACATTGGAATGGATTTCCGCTACAGTCTTGTTGAAGGCAGCTTGTTGATCAATAATCCCAATAAAACCCAAGATACTGGAACGTACCAGTGCATAGCATCAAACTCGTTCGGCACAATTGTTAGCAGAGAAGCAAAACTTCAATTTGCTTGTAAGTAGCATTTATGTGGTACTGTGAATGTTTCTGTGAGTTTTTATGGCATTGTATTAGTAAGCTTTTAGAACAATTTCTTTTTTAAAAACCGAAGGAGTCCCTCGGCTTTGAGACTTTAATTTTGTAACTTGAACACCTATTTCTAAGAGGACAATATTTAACTCATCAACTAGTAGTTTCTTAGTGTTAATATTTTTCTTTGAAACTATGTATTACCTCTACCCTTTTTTCTGTTTTGTGTTGTTTTTTTCTTTAAATAAAAAAAGAGAGTTTATTATATGACCTTCATCTGTTTTTCACATTTGGGAAATATTTGTAGGATAAACTATAAATGAGTAAGAAGATACATTTTTCTGCTTCTTTAGGTAGTTTATTTGGTAATTTGATTCTGTGGTACCTTATATACAAATAAACTTACATACATTGAAATTTATACATATGTAAATTTATGTACATGGTACACATATTTTAAGTAGTATGTTTTTTAAAAAGCAATGGAGTTGCCAGTAACCTAGTAGTCGACTATAAAGCTCACAGCTTTCATATTACACAGAATATGAAAAAATAAAATAACAACTAAAGGTAGACTTTAATCATTACCTTTTATATTTCTAATTTAGAACATTAAAAAACAAATAACTGTCTCTTAAGACCACTTTTCAATGAAAGTTCATGAGTATATGAAAAGAAAACCAGAATGTAGAAATAAATATAGAGTCCAAGAGTATGAACAGACAGTAAATATTGGAGTAGAGAGGCCTCTAATTAATGTGCTGTTATATTTTTCTAGGTTTATATATTTGAATATAATTTTATATTTCCTTGTGTGAAATCTCAACTATGTAACTGTATCATAAATTTCAAAAGTACTAAGTCTATTGGTAAAAACACTGTAGAATATCATTGTTTATGAAATCTTCTCCAGGAATTCAGTATGAAACATACCTAATAACCATTGTTGTTTGGTGACATTTTTATTAGTTAAGAAATGAATTTTCTGAGAAATAATGTATATAAAGAATTTCAGGTTTATTTTGTTTGGAAATGTCTCTTCAGATGCTCTTGTAAATATTCTTAGCTCCTCAGGATAACAAAAAAAAACAGTATTATCTGGTTAAGTGCTGTAGAACCAGTGTGCTTATTCCTCATGGTTTCAGTAAATGAGTCTTTCTGGATTTATTTTAGAAGATAATCCAGAATCATGGATGTTAAGAACAGGGGAAAATATCAATACTCAGTAAATCTCATAATGCTTTGATTTTTGTATTCTATAGTAGAAGACGATTTAACAGTAACAACAAAAACAGAGCCTTTCATTTTTTAAAGCTACATTTAAAAATCAAAATATCTACCTTGGGTGCTATTTTGGTAAATGAAAGTTCAGGAATCTTTACTATCAAAGACGTCAGAAAGACAGGATCTCATATTCAAGAATAATCATTTAATATAACAGTTTACCCCCAAGGAAATGTTTCCTGACTCATTTTGTGGTAAGTTTGCCTGAGGACTGGTATTTGGAATCCACCTCATTTATTGTACATCACCAGTAAAACAAGCATTCCTTACCCATGGCCCCATTCAGTTTGGAAAATTCTAATGGTGAAGAGTTCATCTGCTCATCATAAAGCATCCTGACCTAGAGTAGGCTGCAAAAGTATAATACAAAAATAAACCAACGTCTTCCTTAAAATTGAATCAGATAATATCACATCTGTATCACTTTCATTTCTAATTCTTACTATATGATGCTGGTTAGGCTTTAAATATATGAAAATATATATTGTTCCATAATTATTTTCTTTTCCAAGTACTAGTCTGAAGCCATCTTCTTCATAACACAAATATGTTAATTCATCTATTAAATTGACCTTTTAGGAATGCACACAATTCCATTCATGTGACTTGACCTTTGCAGATAATACTAAATACTGTAGCTTCCCATATGAAATATTTTCACTTAATGTGGCTGACACCAATGTTCATTTTTTTAATGAACTGGTCTTGTATTGTAGACTCACTTTGAACATATAGTCAGGTAGAATAATGATTTTTAATGAATTTCTATTAATCCAGAGCTATCCGTATTATTTTATTACTCTAAATTCAGAATATCATATTTACTCCCATTAAGTTCACTTTGTAATAGTGACCCTTTGTTCCACTACATTTGAAATTGTTTTAAATCTTTTTTTTACCTGACATATTGATTGTTCCTCTAGTTCATTGTCAATGGAAAATTTGATAAGTATATGTCCATTTGAAATAACTAATACAACATGTTGACCAGGGCAGGGCAGCGTGCCATCTTCAGAGAACTTCCACTAACATGCTATCAGACCTTTAAATCTATGTTGTTTGCACATGCTTATTCAACAAGTCACAAATTTAGCTAAATAGTCTGTAATTAATCCCCAATTTTCCTTACTTATTCTTCAAGTAATAGAAGTCTTTGCTTAGTGCTGGTCAAAACCAATCTGTACCATTTCTAAAACATTTACTCCTGCCTGGTATCTCTACATTTTCAAACCCTTCTTTTGCCATTTATCGTAAGACAATCCATGTTTTTAAAATGTAAATTAGGTCATTTAACTTTCCTGCTTATGCCTTCTACTACACTTAGAAAATATCTCAAATTCATTACTATGTCTCATTTTAGTTTTTCAAAGTGATGAACTATTTTTTGTACTAGAGCCCACAAACTTTCACTCATTCTTTCTGTATGCTTTTCTCTTGATCTTTTACACAACTGACCTCTTATAATCCTCAGTTCTCAATTTAGGTGCCATCGTGCAAGAGACAATTTTCCTACCTCCGTATATAACTGAACAAGACGTTCTTACCATTTTATCTCCTTTCCTCTGCCCACTTTCCTCTAACCCTCTACTTCTCTATAACAAAATCCTCTATTTCTTTTAGCATGATTTAATAAAATGTGGAAAGATCTTGTATTTTTTTTTCTTACTTATTATTGTCTCTTCTGATAGAATCTAAATTCTAAAATTCCTGAGACTGTGTTGCCCATGATATGTCTCCAGAGTCTGCGATAGTGTGTGTAGTAATAAAGATATGCATTTATTAGATGCCCATTTGGGAACACAAAATATATGTATAACGTTCATTTGGGGATGATGCACCCTGTACACCCTAGGCCAGGGAGAGCAAAACTTTCCGAGCTCTCAGTGATACAGTCTGCTCTGGTACAATTGTCATAGATTCACCAGCACTGCTCTGACATTTGCTGGAATTCAGTTTCACTATTATCAATCTAGAGTTTCTAGCCTTTTAAAAAAATCTCCTAAACTTTTTAAATAAAGAAAACAAATTTTCAATTTGTTAGGATAAAATGCTTTTATTTAGTAAGTAAATAAATCGGAAGCAAGACAGTGACATCATTTGAACTTTTCTGATTTCATTCACCATGAGCCTTTTCATAATCATGGATGGGGAAAATGTTACTTTTTAACTGTACTTACTGTGCTGTACTATACAAATGAGAATCTTTAAGGTAATTCAAATGTGTGTTGGCCTACACTGTTTTAAAAAATGAAATTGAAGATTTAACTAACTGAATTATTTATTTATTATTATTCAAACCTTCAGTTCCTAGTTCTGTGTAGCCTGGCACTCGTCTTCCTCAGACCAGCCGTATTCATGAGAGTGCCTCCCTTCATCATCTTGAAACATGTTACACTTTTCCATTCTCATTTATATACTTTGAGTAATATTATCCATAGCAGAGTCTTATAATCTAGACATACTTATTTTCATTTTGTGCAATATTTTTAGAGATTCCCATGCTGTGTTTCTTGATATAATTTGGTAATATCTTGCTTAGCACTTAGCATTTTTCAGTTGAACTAAGTCAGAAGCAAGATTTGTAATTCAGTAGTGATGACGTTTCTAGTATTCTTCTTTTTCTCCTCTAAAAGTTTAATATCTTTGGGATTGAAACTCTTTGATTAAACAGGCAATTCATAATTTAAGGTTCTTTTTATGAAGTACGGACATTTTCAGAAGCATGTATTATTGTAATGTAATTTGGAATACTTTTTGTTTTTCACTTCCCCTGCAATATTGAGCCACCAGCAATCAATCACTTCCCTTTTTGCCACTGAGCCTGTTGTATACCTCTTGTACTATTTAGTCTTTCTATTTTACCTGGGACAACAAAATTTGATTGACTGCATAATTTGCCCACTGCCTGGCACTTAAACTCATAATGATTGTTGAGTGAATAACTACATAAGAACTAGATGCTAAGTCATTGGGCATAAAGAATGAGTTGAACTACTGAAGTTCTTTCTAATGATCCTTTGGAGAGGTTTGGAGGTGCAGACACTCCAAACTTTTTTTTATACACTTTGAAATTGTATAAAGGACAGTTGATATCTGAGTTTCAGCTCACCATGTATGTTGTGAGGAGAAGGCTTCACCTATAAAAAAGAAGACACTTATTATGGAATGCATCAAACATGTCATCCCTGTTCATTTGTACCCTGGAAAGTCAGCCTGGGACTATGCCTAGCTCCAGCAAAATGTCTAGAGAAAGCTTTCTTTTCAACTTAGGTGTGTCACTCCAGCCCTCAATAATTACATCTTTTCTTCCAGCCAGGGAGAAAAGCAAGTGGAATGTTGTTAATTCTTCATGACTAGCTGAATCAGAGGACAAGGCAAGAGTGGAAGGAATCTCAGTTTATTATATTCACGGGTATGGCAGGATGTCGCAGAGGCTGTGTCTGTCCAGAATCCCGAGCTCCAGCTTCATCCAGCTTGCTTCTGTGCTCTTCAGGCAAGCATCCCAAACTCGGTCTGCTTGAGAGTCACTACGCAGTCTCTCAGCAGAGTTAATTTTTATCTGACATACACACATGGATATTTTAAAAATAAATTTTAATACACACATCTCTACTCCCGAAACACACAAATCATTTTTCTAAAGTTTGAAATGTAGCTTTGAGAACCTGAGTTACTGCATTGGCTAACTTCCAATGTAATGG